GGCGGGCGTGGCGCCGACGATCTCTATCGACGCAGTCTGCTGCTCGAGCCGCGAGCGGCCACCAAGCGGGGCGCAGGCGCGACGGGCTCGACGACGGGCTCGTTGAGCGGAAGCGTAGCCATGCGCCAGAGCAGCAATGGCGCACCGACGGACAACGGCAAGCTGGCCGGACTGGATATCTTTAATTGGCGCACCGACAAGACGTAGCGCAGCGACGAGCGTTCGACATAGACTTGCTACCGGTTTGGCGGTAATGCGTATGATTGGTCTCCGCTTGTTGTTGCGTTTGTGCATTGTGGAAAGGAGACTGGCGAGTGTGGTTGCGAGTTGGCCGAGGGAGGGGAGGGCCACGGACACCGGTGAATTCTGTCGGAAGCTTCAGGGAGCGGGGAAGGCAGGGTGGAGATCCGTCAGTGCCGGTGAGGGGCCGGGGAGCGGAAAGATCCGCGCTGTTCGTCCGGCGGTGTTTTCGTCCTGGCTATACACTAGTACCCCTTGTACCCAATTGCTGTATGACTCCGTTGCCTGTGCGTGTGTGTGCATCCTCCATCCGCTCTCCTTAATGTAGTTTGTGGGTTGTGCAAGCGTACAGCAAGGGCCAGTGGACAGCAATGTGTGTACGACTCGAGCTGGCAGGAGCTGTCGAAGGGTCGGGCTGAAGGGGGGCGCCCGATCTCCAAGGTGTTGAAGAGGGGGGGAGCAGGGTTTCAAGTCGGCCCGCAAAATTCGAAGTGGACCGGCTTGGAAAATTGGAGCGCTGCGATTCGATGCCAATACAAAAATTCTTGGGCTGGGCCGAATATCTCCACTTGCATCCCAGGCTGGGAACGCACAGCAAAGGGTGTTGGTCAGGGCGCAGCGTCTGTGCTGACGGATCCAGCCGCCCGTCGTCATGGCCAGGCAGCGCACAGCAGGCCGCGTGCCCATCGCCAAATTCTTCGCAGCTCGCCCGCCCTCGGACTGGGCGTGGACAGGTGTGGACAGGTGTGGACCGTGAGCACAAAGCCTCGACGGATCATCGCTCTTCCGCTCCACAACATCCTTTCATCTCCATCGCCTCGTCACTACCATCGCGCATCGACGAGTCCCCTTTCCTTTCGATCTTATCCGCGCCCATCATGTTCCCTCGATCCATCGCTCAGTCCAGCGCCAGGGCCGCCAGGTCGCTCGCGCTCCGCTCGGGCTCGGTGCGCATGGTGACGCCCGCCGTCGCCCGTAGGACGCTCATCACTGCCACCGCCCAAAAGTCGCTCGCCATCGCCGCGCACAACATGACCACCCTCCCCGCCCAGAGGTAAGTGACACCCGCGAACCCGCACAGCGAATCACCACGATGAACTGACTTAGCCGCGTCTCTGTTGGTCTTCACAGGAACTTCTCGTCGTCCGCCAGCCGCAAGGAGATCGTCAAGGTGCCCCAGATGGCCGAGTCCATCACCGAAGGCACGCTCAAGCAGTGGAACAAGAAGGTCGGTGACTTTGTCCAGGCCGACGAGGAGGTCGCCACCATCGAGACCGACAAGGTACGTGCCAGCTCCGCTCGAGCCCCTCTTGGTGCTTGTTTACTGACCGTTCTCCCCATCCATCCCCACAGATCGACGTCTCGGTAAACGCACCCCAGTCCGGCACCATCGTCGAGGTGTTTGCCAACGAGGAGGACACGGTGGAGGTGGGTAAGGACCTCTTTAAGCTCGAGCCCGGTGAGGCACCCGCCGGTGGCGCCAAGAAGGAGGAGAAGACGGAGGAGAAGAAGGAAGACAAGAAGGAGGACAAGCCCAAGAAGGAGGAGTCCAAGCAGCAGCAGCAGCCCGAGAAGAAGGGCGACGACAAGAAGCCCGCCCCGGCCGCCGAGCCCGAGTCGCGCCCTTCGGCTGCCAACTCGACGCCGCCCCCGTCGAAGCCGTCTTCGTCTTCGTCGTCTCCGTCGTCCAAATCGTCATCGTCGTCCGGCTCGTCGTCGTCGTCGTCGTCCTCGGCGCCAAAACCGGCGGCGGGCAGCCGAGAGGAGAACCGGGTCAAGATGTCGCGCATGCGTCTGAGGATCGCGGAGCGTCTGAAGCAGTCGCAGAACACGGCGGCGTCGCTGACGACGTTCAACGAGATCGACATGACGAACCTCATGGCGTTCCGTGCGCGCCACAAGGACCGCATCCTCAAGGAGAAGGGCGTCAAGCTGGGCTTCATGTCGGCATTCGCCAAGGCGTCGGCCATGGCGCTCAAGGACGTGCCTGCTGCGAATGCGAGCATCGAGGGAGCTGGCCTGGGCGACACGATCGTGTACCGCGACTATGTGGATCTGTCGGTGGCCGTGTCGACGGACAAGGGACTGGTGACGCCCGTGGTGCGCAACCTGGAGGGCATGTCGCTCATCGAGATCGAGGAGGCCATCGCGGGTCTGGGCAAGAAGGCGCGCGACAACAAGCTCACGCTCGAGGACATGAGCGGCGGCACGTTCACCATCAGCAACGGCGGCGTCTTTGGCTCGCTCTTTGGCACGCCCATCCTCAACCTGCCCGGTTCGGCCATCCTGGGCATGCACGCCGTCAAGGACAAGGCATGGGTGGTGAACGGCAAGGTCGAGATCCGCCCCATCATGGTCGTGGCGCTCACCTACGACCACCGCCTGCTCGACGGTCGCGAGGCGGTGACGTTCCTGGTGAAGCTCAAGCAGTACATCGAGGACATGCCCAGCATGCTTCTCTAGACACATGCGCGCGGCAAAAGCCCCAAAGCGCCTCGTCCGTCTCGCTCTTCCATTTCACTCTCTAAATAGTATCTGGCCGTGATTGTTTTTGCTTTTTGCCAGGCTTGGCTTGTGATGAGAGTGAGAGAGGGTAAGATCCAGTGGGAGGATCGGGGTTGGGATCGAGCGTCGATGGAACCAGGGCTACCCATGCGAAGGCAAGCGGGGCTGAAGAGGTTAGCTTCGGACGGCGACAGAGCGAGACAGCCGGGCGCTGGCTGCCAAAGCGGCATTTGGCTCTCGGATTCTTTTTGCGGCCAAAAAACCTTTTCTCACCATTTGGCAGGGGGTCATCCCCTGGAAACTTTTTGACACTCCGCAGCTTGGCTGACTGCCATGTGTGCCGCCGCCCCGGATGCGGTTAGCCTTGCACCACGAGAGCCCGCCCATGCGTGCGCAATAGCCCTACCTCGTTCCAAGCTGGTGACTTTCAGATATTGACCGCACAGCAAACTTGACCGGCTTCAAAACAGCTTGACCGGCCTCGGAACTCAGCATGGAAGCCAAGGAAACAGGGCCACGGTTCATCTTTTGCGCGTTGGTGTTTGTGCAAATTGGCAAACTGGGATGGAGTGCAACGCGAGTTCGAAAAGAGGTGGACCCTGTCTCACCATTGCAAATCTTGCGCTATCCAAGCATGGCTCAGCCCAGTGCCGAAGATGATACCCGGCCTACGGTGTGATAGCGAGCCGTGGTCCGGTCTTGGGCTCGAGTTTTGGAGCTGGAAAAGGAGGGGCAAAAAGCGGTGGAAAAAGCATGAAAAGGCAAGAAAGAGTCGCCAGAATCTGAGACAGCTGGGCGTCTCTCGCTTCTTTGGAGGCCCCTTTCGAGCTCGCAGAGGGCCCGATTTCAGGCACCAATTTTGAAAAAGAGGCGAAACAGCGCTGGCCATGTGCCAGCACTACAGAACTCCACCTCGCTACCGACGCTCCCCCTCGTGCCAAAAACTGCTGCTGCACGCGCTGCACGCCAATGCACACCCGCTTGGGCACCGCTTCCAGAGTGGCGTCCATCACTCCTCTCATTGTTTGCTTCGCTGCTTCCCGGCTACCCTGAAGGATCGTCGTGCTGAAACATCGCCATCTCGTCCTTCCTCACTCCCACCACCTCTACCACCTCTACCACTTCCGGCGACGATCCCCGCCTTCCTACTCCGACGCTTCAGCCCTCGCCTATCGCGCTTTTCTACGCCACCACCCATCTGGTTCATGCGCTCGCACACGCGCCCGCCCCTTGGCATGCTTTGATCGCCGTGCTCGTACCGCTTCGCCACCATGCCTTTCGCAGAGCTGCTCAGGCGCTCCTCGCCCAACGTGGCGTCCAACATCGCATCGTCCACGGATACGCCTCTTTACCATGGATCCTACGCCCTCGCTTCGTCTTCCAAACCCCGCGCTTCCAAGACACGCGCTCAGCCAGGATCGCCGCAGCATCTCCTCTACCCTCCAGCTGCCTCTATAAACAGGTCGTCCCACTACTCGGCCAGCGACGATCACAGCATCGGCGAAGCACCATCCCACGCACACACCCTCAGCCAGCCCGCATCGTCAGCATCGACTGCCCAGTACGATCGCCTCTTTGGCCTCGCTCCCAAATCTACTTCAGCTTCCCCACTTTCCACTACCGTCCCCCTCGCTCGCCCAGCTTCGTCCTCCCCATCATCCGTCGCCGCTCCATCATCGCAAGCGCAAGCTCAACATACCTCTCTCCTGCGCAGGAAAAGCACGCGCTCGCGACAGCCCTTCCCACCCGCAGCACCATCCACCGGCTCCAGCAACTTACAGCGCGACAGATCCATCATGGGCAGCTCCGTCTTTCGACGCCCCAGTCTGCGTCGTCGCAACGGGTCCACCGACTCCACCGCTTCCCGCACCGACAAGGCCGCTCCCACCACCCCGCCACTGCC